CCCCCCCCCCTAACTGTGCCTTTCAATTAAAATAAATAAATCTTAAGAAGGTTTTTGGAATATGTGTTTTCCCCATAATTTGTATTTCCTGTGAACCTTTTTAAAAAAACATTTATTTATTTATTTATTTATTTGAAAGGGAGAGTCTTGGGGCTTGTGAGGGGCTTGGGGAAGGGGTTGAATCAGAGAAAAAGAGGTCTTCCATCCGCTGGTTCACTCCCCAAATGGCTGCAATGGCCAAAGCCTGGGCCAGGCAGAGCCTGGAGCCCAGAACTCCATCCAGGTCTGCCACATGGGTGCGGTGCCCAAGTATTTGGACCATCTTCTGCTGCTTTCCCAGGGCATTAGCAGGGAGCTCAGTCAGAGGCCATGCAGCCAGAATTCAGACTGGTGCTCTGATATGGGATGCCTCTGATACAAGCAGCGAGTAATCCATGCGCCACAACGCTCGCTCTCCAAAAACTATTTGAAGAATGCTTGTGTGAGTGGGTTTCAAATTTTCTTGCACCAAAATATTTTGAAGTACCCTCATTTATAGGTATCCTTAAAGAAGTGTGCGAGTAAAGAAAAAAGGGAGAAATATGTGGGCTCCCTCCTTTGTCTCTTTTCATGTCCATAACAGATTTCATTGTCCTGGGTCTAGAATGTGACTTTCCATGGCTGTTGGCTCTCCCCAAAGTTTGAGCTGTCAGATTTTGTCAGGAAAGTCTGTATCTCCTTAACCATGGGGTTCTGACATTGGAGCAACTGTATTGTCAGCGAATCTATGCCCACAACAGCCACTTGGCATTTTTATGATACTGGTCAAAATGGACACATTTCAGAAGAATATAATTTTAAAATTCTTTACTTTGAAACTGTGCCCTTACTCCTGCTTCATGAAGGCATTGAACCATTATGCAGTGAGTATCAGCATTTCTTTGTCTAGTTTCTTCATTGAAGTATAGCCTAAATGACTAACTCTCTACCCTACTGTAGGCATGGTCAGGTCTGTAAGTCATAGCTTAATAGCGATGAATAGACCCCTGGGTAAACCCTGGGAGTTGGGTGAAAGTGCATATTATTCTGGCCTCTCATATTCTTCATTAAAATAAGTAGAAATTTCCATTTCTTCAACTAAAAAGAGACACTTGAATATTCAAAATTAGGGAGTCTATGTTGAAAGCTTTTGGAACAAGCGAACTTGCATGCAAAAGAACACACAGACCCAAACTCGAAAATACAGACGGCTTTATAAATTCTTTTACCAAGTTATCTAAAATCTTACTTGAAAATTATATTTGGATTATATTAATAAAAATCTTGTTTTCTTAAATATAGTATAGGTAACTATACTACTGCAAATCTATTTTAAAAAGACAAACAACCAAATAGAAAAATGGGTCGAGTATTTCATCAGCAGTTCACCAGAAGAGGAAACACAGGACACATGAAAAGAAGATGCTCATCCTTACTCATGTTCAGGGACATGCATAGTGGTTTGTCATTTCATACCCGTGAATTAGCAGAAATTTACAAGTGTGATAATATCAAATGTTTACAAAGATTTTACAGTGTATTTTCAAACATCCTGCAGAAGTGTAAACAGGTACAAACACATCGGAAAATAATATCATGTTAATGATATGCATATTCTAAATCCCGAGTGGTGATAAAATGTAGAAAACTTGTATTCAGCAGGAGACATGCATTAAATTGTTCATTGCAACATCATTTATAATTGCAAAAACAAAAACCACAGACCAAAAAATCTGGAAGCAATCTAAATCCTTCAACAACATTGTAATAAGTCTATGATGTAATAGTATACAATGATTAAAAGCAAGAACTTAAGCACATATGTGGGTAAATCTTTTTTTTTTTTTTTGCCAGGCAAAGTTAGACATTAAGAGAGACAGAGAGTTATAGACAGTGAGAGACAGAGAGAAAGGTCTTCCTTCCGTTGGTTCACTCCCCTTATGGCCACTACGGCCAGCGCTGCGCCGATCCAAAGCCAGGAGCCGGGTACTTCCTCCTGGTCTCCCATGCGGGTGCAGGGACCAAAGCACTTGGGCCATCCTCCACTACCCTCCTGGGCCACAGCAGAGAGCTGGACTGGAAGAGGAGCAACCAGGACAGAATCTGACGCCCCAACCGGGACTAGAACCCCGAGGTGCCAGTGCTGCAGGCGGAGGATTAGCCTAGTTAGCCAAGACTCCAGCCATGGGTAAATCTTAAAAACATGTTGGGTGGAAAACCAGATGACAAAAGAAAACCTTTCAGTAGTTTTTATGCAGAATACAGAACCTACAGAACATATTTTTGTATTTTGATTGTGATATACTTTTGCGTAGCGCACAAAAAGCATGAGATGAATAAATATGTAGAGGGAGTTTGAACTCACAACATTTCATTTTGTAAACTGGGTGTTAGAATCATGAATGTTTTCTGTGTTTCTGAAACATTTTATTTTTTTAAAAAAATCACATTTTTATATTTCAAAGTGGCCTAGTTACTAAGCAGCTTTAACCAAAAATTCTGTTAAGTAATTTATGTGCTGCAGTAAATACAAAAAGGAAAATGATTTTGAAAGAGAACAAAGCTGTTGATACAGTTTCAGGTCAGGTCATAATCCTATGGTATTACAAAATACCATAGAACATGTGGCTCACACAGTAGACGTTCATTCTCTCGCAGTTCTGGAGCCTTCAAGGTCAAGATGTGGCAGAGCTGGCTGTTTGATGAGGGCTCTCTACTGGGGCTGTAACAGCCACCTTGGGGCGGGGTGTTCACAAAGCTTTTCCTTGTTATGTGCACGCAGGGAGATCGAGCTCTATAGGGTCTCCTCTCATAAGGACGCTAATCCTATGGGCTCAGAGCCTCACCCTTATGGCCTCACTTAGCCATAATTACGTCCTTAGAGGCCCCGTTTTCAAGTGCATGCTACACTGAGTTTGGGCTTCAAAGTATAAGGGTGAGGGAGAGCTGTGCAGTCAATGATGTGTTCTGTAGTCTCCTTGGGAGAAAATAACAGGTGAATGAAAAGTTGTAAGTAAAAGCTACCTCTGAAGCATCTCACTGACTGTCAGCATTATTGGTATACAAATTATAGGTTTGGAGATGTAAACCGCTTTCTAAAATATCAAAATAGGGGTTTTGGTGTTTTTATTTGCTTGCTTGGTTGGTTTGCCTCATGCTTTTCTGAGACTTCTTTGAGTGTTTTGCTTTGTTAAAGTTGGTCATTAAAGACCAATTTTGCCATCTTTCATTTAGTCCACCTGTTCCTGCCATCGCTTTGCTCATTTTTCCACTCAGGTACTCTGCTTTTTAGTTTGCATTGTTTTCTACTATTTTGATGGCTTTAAACTTGGGAATTTTTCCCCTTGCTTGATGTTTAAGATGTGTATTATTATGAAAGTCCTGAAAGACTACTTATATATTATATACATATATGATTCTTTTTCTTTAAATTTACAATTATGCTATACAATATTTGTCTTAAATAGTTTCTTTATTCATTCTTTGGTAATCTTTTAAATTATTTCCCTCATTCTGTGATAAAGTTTTATATTCTAAAATTATGTTGGTGTTCCACAAAAATACATAAAAAATACAAAAAAAATCACCTTGTCTTATCAATTCTTCTTTATTTGCCTTCATCCATTTACAATTTGTCATCCATGTAAGATTTACATTTAGGAATTTGAATAATTTGCATGAGAAAGTGGAATAGTAAGCAGTCATACAGTTTTAGGAATATAAGAGAATTCCAGCGTCTTTGTTTCAAGAATTTTAAAGTATCTATTATTATTTTAATTGCACACATTTATGAAGTACACTGTGATAATCTGGTCCATGTGTTGTGCGTGTGATGATCAAATCCTAGAAGTTAATGTTTCCCTGTCATTTTTACTACTTTGGAGCTTTCAAGCTCCTCTCTTCTAGTTCTTCATGAGATATATAATAGGGTATTGTGTAATATGGAGCTGTGGAACACTCGAACTTATTCCTTCTGTCTGTGTTCTGGAACCTGTAATCCAGTCTCCCTCATCCCCACCCCGCACCCCACTCCCAGAATATTTTTAAAGTGTCTGTTTAGGTAGCTTATTGTGATAGACATTGTGCCCCTAGCATAGAAATCCTTACACACAGAATCAATCATGTTACATTGGTACATGGTGTCTGTAATTGTTTAGGTAATAATCACTCAGTGGGTACATTTTAGTTGAATGACTCTTTGAGTTCTCAGCTTCAGCCTCAGCCAAGCTCTAGCTGTTTTTGTGGAATATGCGGCATTTGTGGAATGAACCAAACTCTCTTCCCTCTCCCTCTCCTCTCCCTCTCCTCCCTCTCCCCCCTCTCCCTGTTCCTCTCTTCTCCCTGTCCCTCTCCTCCTTCTCCCTGTCCCTCTCCTCCCTCTCCTCTCCCTCTCCCCCCTCTCCCTGTTCCTCTCTTCTCCCTGTCCCTCTCCTCCTTCTCCCTGTCCCTCTCCTCCCTCTCCCTCAAACAACTGACTTAGGAGCTGCTAGCTTGGTCTAGCTCCTGGTGGCCCCTTATATTTATGATAGAATCCAGTATATGTTTCTCTCTCTACCTCTCAAATACTTTTTAATAAAAGGAGACATTTTTAATAAAAGAGAATAAAATACACAATTAAAACATGTAAATAATGTGTATAGTGGCATTTCATTTGTGCGATAGAGAAACTGGCAACATTGCTAAATGAGCATAAAAGGGGAAGTCCAGGTTATACCGCTCCCTGGCTGGGTTTGGCTTGTGGCTTGTCTCCAGGAGGCCTGGAGGGACAGTTACACTGGTTAGGGAGGCTGGCCTTGGCTGGCATTCTGGAAAGGAATATACGAGAGCTGGAATGAAAAAGTTGGAATGGTTGTGGCAACAGAGGCACATTGGACCGTTTTAATGAATTCAATTCATTCAACATAGAGATCTTTAAAAGTGCTGAACATTTTTAAATTGATTTATTTACTGCTGGTCACTAAATGGCTAATACTTTCCTGCAGGAGGAACAGCTGAAATCCCATGAAAGCAAGCTGAAGCAGATTACCACTGAGCTGGCCGAGCATCGCTCCTACCCCCCTGACAAGAAGGTCAAAGCCAAGGACGTAGATGAATACAAACTAAAAGACCACTATCTAGAGTTTGAGGTATGGTGGACCAAAATGTCAGCAATGCTTGTTTCAGAATTTGTCTAAGAGGCAAACAGTTTTTAACAGCCGAACGGTGGGCAGCACACCTGGGCCGTTCCTCTCTCTCAGGAGCTCCTAGCATGGTCTAGTTCATGGTAACCCCTCCAGTTTGTGGTTCTGTGTAGCTGCCTGACATCAAAGAATGACTGTGAGTTCATGCACTTAGAAGCAAACGGCCTGTCTGGCTGCAATAGTGTGTGCCTGCTGCCGGGAAGGAAAAGGACGGTAGAAGGACGTGCTGGGTAGGGCAGCTGCCTTCCCTGTCCCTGCCTCTGCTGGCAGAGTCCAGTCCAGGAGCCCCGGTGGGGTCAGGTGCAGCATGATGCAAAGCATTCGCTCCTTCCACACATTCCCGCTGCTGGGGAATTGATCGATCAAGGTGCCGCATCCATCTCGGTTGCTAAATGGACTCCTGAGAAGAATGGTGATGATTCACATACATTGCCATGGAAAGGTGGAAAATCTTAAAGCAAACTGAAATCAATCTATTTCCAAATCTTTCCTTTGCCCAGGTTTTCTCCCAGCTTACTGTCAGGTTGTGCAGCATCCTCCCTCAGCCACCACCTTCAGACACTGAAAATGTCTTTTTTTTTTTTAAGTCAGTAGCATCTAGTCCAGAACAGTACTCCTGAATTTTTTACATATTTCCTAGTGGGTGAGCCAAATCCATCTATTCGTATTCTTGTTCACTGCAGCCCCAGTCCCTTTCATTTCCCAACACCCCTCTCCTTGGTTCCGCTTTCACCCTGCTCTTTCCTCCTCGGGCTTCAAAACAGCATCAGCTGAGCTGCAAGACCCTGGCAAGAGGCCTCTGCAGTGTGGCACCCCGCCTTCCTGACTGTGGGCATGGCTTTCGGCCTCACTCACGTGAGCCTGCTGGTTGACTCCTGTCTCTCTGTGGTTCAGCTCACACCTTTTTGCCAGTTGTTTTCCTGAGGCTCAACCCAGATTCAGACAACAGCTGCCCTGAGGTTCCCTTACACACCTGTTCCCATTGACCCTCTGGGGACAGGCCCAGTCCTAAATCTGAGATTTGGCTTCCTGTAGCTTTCCATAATCTCAGTCTTTCCCACAGCAGCCCCCCAGTGGTTTAGGTACAGTTGTGCTCACTCTGCCTAGACATGCTTTTACACCTTGATTCAAAGCTTTCTTCCTACCTTCTTCGTTGGGAAAATTCTGCATCCGTCAGTGTACAGTCCAAATCCCTTCTATAAAAAGCGCACTCTGAATCCCTCAGCTGGGATTCATTTGTTAGAGGATTTGCTGCAGTTTGCTCCATGTTAATTATTTTCTTCTATCCTTATGTGCAGAGTGGAATCTCCACCTGCCCGAGATCGTGAGCTCATGCCAGCCTTTATTCAATACTTGCTCGTTGAATTAGATGAAGTTTCATGGGAACCCTAAAAAGTCACTTCCCAAGGTGTTTTGTTTTTGAGTTTTAAAATGTCTATTATCAGATGTGGCATTTGAACCAAAAAGGTGCTACAGAGCCAAATAGTAGTTTTCTTCATGGTCAAGCAAGAATTTGCTCCGGGCAGATGACCATACCAAGAAAAGTATTTATTTTGGTAAAGGTAGAAGTTTGTTAAGAAAAACTGTGGAAGCCTTACCCACCCCACCCCCTCAAAAAAAAAGACTTGAAAACTTATTTTAAAGAAAAAACAACAGCAGCAAGCTAAGCACCTGTCTTTCCCCAGGCTAGTTCAATCTTGGGAAATGGGAGTTCTCAAAAAGCAATCATTGTTCTTCACACTTCTGGAGTAGCTTTAAGCCACAAGCCCTTTTGTTTCACACATGCTAATTAAATTTCCCAACACCTCAGTCCCCTGCTTCCACCACTCAGCACCTCACTTGGAGCTCTTGCCTCTTAAGAGGGAAGAGCCTGTCCTTAGGAGGTGAAGGTGACTGCAAGACCTTGGCAAGGTCGCCACGGCAGACGCGCTCCCAGCATTAGAATCTACTGTGTTGCCCCTTTTCTGAAAACATAACTCTGCACAACTCAGCATTTTCATTTCCTGACATGAAGTCAGAGGAAGCTTTGTGCGGATTAAGCTTTGCCTTCATCTGAACGTCTCTTCAAAGAGCCTGAAGATTGCATCCCAGGACCCTCGACTCATTAAAACTGAAGTCGTATGCTAATCTGTCACGCGTGTTGGATTGTTTGTCAAGATGCATTAGCCCTGTGTCTACTAGGAAGGTAGAAGTGTACCACACTTTGTATGTAGATGTCAGCCAAAGTAATGCTTTTTTTAAGAAGGAAATCGTCGTTCCACTAACTTAAATAAACACTGAAGTAGTCTGGCCCAGGGAGTCCACTTTGCTACCATTTCAGCCACCGAAGTTATCTACATGCTTGTGGAGCACCCTTTGCTTCATAAGCAGCGTTCCCCGAATGAGAGACAGAGCTACTCGCTGTTTCGTATGACGTGTTCACAGCTCTAGCCTCAGCTTCAACACTGCTTGGGTGCCTGATGCATACTTGTGGAATGAATTAATGAAGTTTTATCATGAATAAAGGATAGCATCAGAGAAAGTAATTTTCCAAGGCATAAGCGTAGTCTTCATTGTTTTTACAGGGCCAGAGGCTCCTGTGAAAACAAACCCAATAGGCAAGTGAGAACAGACAGCAGTACGCAACTCAATGAGAGCCCCAGGTGGACCATATCAGGAAGAGGAGCCACAGCACCTCAGTTTGCACCAAAGGCTCTGGGGCATGAGTTAGCTTTCTCACCTCTTACAGGTCATCAGCAAGAGGGCCACCCTTGATTTCAGAGCAGTTCTCACGATTTTCACAAGTCTTAGTAAGGAAAAGCACTTTTATTTTGGCAAAATAATAATCTTTAGTACTGACACTGGAAAGGTTCCTAACTTGAAGTTTTATAGTTTTTTATGTCCTGGGAAGCTTACTTTGAGTACAAACCATTCTTAACATCAAGCCAAATTCATAGGTCTTTCCATGCCTTAGAAACGCTTCAAAGCTTCACTGACAGAAATACTTAGAAATGCTGATAAATATGTTTTTTTAATTTTTTAAAATTTATTTGAAAGAGAATTATATATGTCTATATAGAGAGAGACAGAGAAAGGTCTTCCATCCACTAGTTCACTCCAAATGGCCACAATGGCTGGAGCTGAGCCAATCCAAAGCCAGGAGCCAGGGTTTTTGTTTGTTTGTTTTTTGTTTTTTTTTTTTAGATATAGGGAGAGTAAGAAGAATTCATTTTGCCTGTTAGAAAAAGATTCACCTTTATTTAGTTAAAGCAGCAAGCCACTCAGCATGGGCTATCATTGACTAACCTACTTGTTCTCCTTTCATCATCTTGTTTTTGATAGAATTGATACCTCCAAACCATGACTGTTATTTTCATAGAAGAGTTCACTTGGGAATCTAATCCTACTTTTGGAAGAGTTTTTAAGCATCACAAGTCTACATTGAGAAACTGACCGTCATTTCTCCACTCAATCAAATAAATATCAGAAATAGGCTCATGTCCTTATAAATTAGATTTCTTCTACTCTATTTAGTTCTTGTTTTACTTAAATATCTTTCAGTTGCACTGTATGCTTCTGGAACATTAGGGAATGAATATGTCATGAACTGAGAGGTACTTAGGTGGTTTATGTCAGATACCAAGACTTGCAAGGCTGAAGCCAGCCACAGCACAGATTGAGCTGTGCTGGGCAGCCCCTGGCCTCTCTGAGAACCAGCACCATTGGAGGAATTCCCTTGGTAACGCTGTATTTGGCCCCAATATTTTGGCTTTATGTTTCTTTAGCTTTAAAAGAGACAGCAATTAGAAGTGAAGATGCTGTTTCTTCTAAGATATTTTTCATGAGCACTAAGATGTTTCCTGAAAGTTGAGTAGATAACCCTTTTGTTAAGCTAGACCAGAGAGAAGAAGGTATAATGGCCCAAACCCATTAAAAATAAGATTGGGCTGTAAGATGTTTATTAATGAGGATTTGCTGAAGGTCGGGATAATCATGGGATTATTACACAGTCAGCTGGAAAACTGTGGCCAGCACAATGTCAATGAATTTTAGCAGACCTAATGTCAACGTGGTTTTTTTGGCCAATACATGGTTGCCCTTGTTTGAATTTGAATTTGAATGCATGTAGGAAAGGCAGGCTGTCTTCTTCCCACCACTCCCTTGTACTCTATCACATCCTGTAGCTTTTCTACTATTGGCATGGCCCCCAAAAGCATTTGACTTTTCAAATCCAATAATAGAGGCTGCAGCCAGGTGTATATGCTTTGAGTATTATATCTCTGAACATGGACTGTAGAATTAACTTTCCTGTTATGATTTTGATGTGGGGGAATTAGGTAGGAAGATTAGGCAAAATTAGGTGAGATGGAAATTTCTGCCAGCCTTGCATTTTTTTTTAAGATTTATTTATTTATTTGAAAGGCAGAGTTACAGAGAGGCAGAGGCAAAGAGAAAGAGAGATCTTCCGTCCTCTGGTTCACTCCCCAAATGGCTGTAATGGCTGGAGCTGATTCAATACAAAGCCAGAAGCCAGGAGCTTCTGCCAGGTCTCACACGGGTGCAGGGGCCCAACACCTGGGCCATTTTCTACTGCTTTCTCAGGCCATAGCAGAGAGCTAGATCAGAAGTGGAACAGCTGGGACTCGAACCAGCTTCCTTAGGGAATGTCGGCACTGCAAGAAATGGCTTTACCCACTATGCCACAGTGCCGGCCCCAGCTTTGCTTTTTTTTTTTTTTTTTTTTTGACAGGTAGAGTTATAGACAGTGAGAGAGAGACAGAGAAAAAGGTCTTCCTTCCTTTGGTCCACTCCCCAAATGGCCGCTATGGCCAGTGCTGCGCCGATCTGAAGCCAGGAGCCAGGTGCTTCTTCCTGGTCTCCCGTGCAGGTGCAGGAGCCTAAGCACTTGGGCCATCCTCCGCTGCCCTCCCAGGCCACAGCAGAGAGCTGGACTGGAAGAGAAGCAA